ATTTTCGTTCAATACAATTCGGTTGCCCTCACCTGTGTTCTCCTTCACTACACCATTATTATCATTGTTATTATTATTATTGCTAGTAATGACAGTCTTTATTGCCATTTTTAATCATTCCATATTAAAAATTGTCTTAATTTAGTCCAATTATCCATAGCTGTTGTTAAATAAAATAGATCCAATAGTAGAGTGGTGATGGTAGTTGTGTCTCCCTCCAACTGACAACTTATCAGTTACTTACTTACTTACTTACTTATGCCTATTACCCCCAATGGAGGAGCATAGGCCGTACACCAGTTTCCTCCAACCAACTCTGTCCTGTGTTTCCCTTTCCAGTTCTGTCCAAGGTTTGTTCATTCCTCTCATATCTTTCTCTATTTCTCGACGTAATGTGTTCCTTGACCTTCCTCTTAACTTATCAGTTAGGATGTATCATTTATTTTGAAGTAATAAGTAATTCAGTTTTGTGGTCATTGTTGTATGTTAATACAAATCCATTTCAGGTAACTTAACATTTTACTCATAGTTAATATTGATAAATATCATTAATGTATAAACTATTTTCATAATTTAAAATGAATATATACAAACTAATGTAGTTCAGTATAGTTAGTTGGCATGTTTTAATTTATTTTCTCATGATAACTAGATAGAGCTGTTAGCTACTCAATGTAAACCTTTCTTTATTTTAATTTTTGTTTCTTCTTAATGATTAAATAATATTCAATATTTGAAATTGGACATTTATTTTTAAATTAATTCATTTATGATGAACATTGAATGAATATATTTGAAATAATGAATCGATCAATGTTAGAATCCTGGAAGAACTGAAACACGGTCGTTTTGTTCTGGTATGAGACTCATCAGTGGCAGTGTGCATCCACGACTCCTGCACCTCACAGGATTTGAACCCAGGGCCTTCGATCTTGTGCGCGAACGCCTAATCCTTAAACGAATGAGTTGTCTAAATCTTATCGTTGGTGTTTTGGATTAAGCATGACTAGTTTCTTTGTCATATGTTCATCATGTGTGAATTACCCCTTTAGGTTACAAGCATCATTAGCAGAAGTGGATAATAGCTAGCAGTGGGTTCAGGAAATTCGTTCCGCTGTATTTGAGACTAGCCAGTTGGGTGTAATTGCTTTTCAGAATTCATGCTCACTTTAAGAATCGAACCCAGTACCTTTTGCTTTAAACGTAACCCCTTTAGCAATCCTTGCAGTACGAGATATCAACTAATACAAATGAATTAGTCTTCGCTCAGTCAGATAGGTTGGTGGCTATCTGGACTCAGTAGCTAAGTAGATAACATGAAGACATTTAAAGCAAATGGCAGTGCTTACGAGTCTCAGAGTGAACGTCAACTTTGGGATGTCAGTACATCCGATTGATGCGTCCCAAACGAGACGAATTGTGCGTCTTGGATTTCACTGCTAGCAACTATCCATTTCTACTTGGTACCACTACTGATGATTTACCAGCTATCTCAAGACAATCCGCACACGAGGTACATAAACATTACGAGTCTGATCAATTACATTTCTAAACATCCATGGGTAGATTCTAAAAACCAATACAATACAAATAAATCAGTAAAATCGGTATCTTGTCAGTACATTGTTGTTGTGAATTTCCTTCACCTTTTTTTTCCGACAAAAAAAAGAGATTATTCTAATCTTCGTCTACTGAAATCCTTTTTTTTCATTTTCTCACATGAGATTCAAAAAAAATTTAAGCTTTTTTTAAAAATTTTTATTTCAAGTACCAATTTTCTTTAGGCTGTAGTATATACATACATATACATATATATTATTGAACACTGAAATGGGTTGTTTGTTTCATATCTCTACTTCATTCAATGGTATCAATGGTATATATATTTGTATATATTTGTATTCTCTTCAAACTTAGACAAGTTAAACAACAGTAAGTAATGAACAGTAAATTGAATTTATTAAGAAAATTGGCGGGAATTTTAATTCTCTCTCCTGTACACGCCGCCATTATTGTTTTCACTAGTCAATTTGAATTCAATAGTTCCAAGAAAAAAAAAAGAGATTGGAAATAATTTATGCAAAATTATTGAACTATTTTTGAGCAAAAAAATTATTTAAACATTTCTCATTGTTTCTTTTATCAATTCATTATTTTTTTTCGTTAGAATTTAATATTAACAAAAGAGAAGGTAGGATTTAGATTTTGTGCCTGCACAGTACATACTTGGAATGATGTTACGAAGACTGCTAGCTCTAGTTGTCGTCAGTCAAATTCAGGTTACACACAGTTTCCTGCCATGTCTAGCTTCCTGTAGGTCTGAAATATTTACAACCGATTAATGAATTATCAGTGATATACTTGTACAGTTCAATTATTAATGATCGAAAGCTATTGACCGGATTTTCCTGTCAGCTCTAATCAAACATTATACATGGAAGTATATTCTACTCACGGATGAGTTATTTAAACCAGTGGGTATGATGCAACTTGATCGATTGAATTCCATCAGATCCAAAAGCTAAGGGATCAATCAATGCTAATAATTTATTGCTTTGTATGTGAATGTTTCGTAGTCTAGACGGGTTAAGTGTCCACTGTGCACTGCTGATGTGTCCCACAATCGGATGAAACAGTTGTCTAGTTCTATTAGGTTCCCAATGGTCTATGACTAATCTATATGAGGTAATAAATATTAAAATGTTAGTTCAAGTTACAAACATCACTCCGTTTGTGGTGTCATGATGAAAAATTAATTGTACGGGGGAATTTCCTTCTTTTGTGTTTCGTAGATAAAACATCAAACTTAAATTTTAAGTATTCTTCAATAAATAAATATAACTAGCTTCGTGAAAAAATTCTCGGAGTTCTAGTTAAGAAGATGTGACAAATGGAGTTCAACCCTGTCTAGTGTAAGCAGTAACTACCAAAGATAAATGGGTGAGGTCGCGCAAAATCAGTAGGTCATTCAGAGTTAGACATGAACATCGTTGGATGCCGGCCCAGTGGTCCAATCGTTAGGCATTCGCCCACAATACCGAAGGTCCCGTGTTCGAATACTGCTAGTGGCAGGAGTCGTGGATGCGCACTGCCACTGATGAATCAGTCCCATACCAGGACGAAACGGCCGTGTTTCAGTGCTTCCAGGTTTCTAATGGTAGTCTAGTAACAATGATTGATTGATTGATTTCAAATGTGTTAAAAATATAACTAACCCTAATCACATATACATGCAGCCATTAAATTCGATATTTATTAGTCAGTCAGTCAGATGCAACGTAGAACTTCGCACGTAGGTACATCAGTTCGTGTTGCCATACCACATCAGCACAGAGATACAGTTGTCAATTCAAATCCAATAGTAGAAGAGGTAGTAAAGGTATTAGAAGTAATCGGAGAGGTTAGGATTAGAAGATATTATTCAAGAAATATGATTCAATGAGAAAAGTTAAGAAAGTCAAAACTAGAGGTGTTGAAGAATCCAGAATATTAGGATTTGAGAGAACACAAAAAATAAATGCACTGGCGCCAATGCAAACGGTTTCGAGCCTCTTCATTCAGGGTCTCTAACCATCGATTATTATTATCTCGCGGACCCCAACCAGGTAGTCGACAACTACCGACATGGCTAAGTCCATTCGTCAATGACTTCATGGATTTGTGCCATGTTTTGATTTGGCCGACCCTAACTTTCTTCCAACCCATTCCTACACTACAAAACAAAGTTCGTCGAGGTAGTAGGTGGTTAGGCATACTCAACACATGTCCTAACCACATCAACTGATGAAGTTTCATTACTTCATCTATTGATCTGCCATTCTTACTTAGCAACCGTTTCCTAATAACAGCGTTGCTCACTCGGGTGTCCCACGATATACGAGCAATGCTTCGAAGACACCTATGATCGAAAACCAGTAACCTACGAATATCTTCTACTCTCTCACTGACCATGTTTCACAGTCACAAAGTAAGACGGAGCGATATTCATTAGGATTCATCTATTTTGATTACTTTGTGAATGCGCAAACACACATATTTTCAACGTAAAATTATTATACAATCGAAAATTCAGTTTTTCAAATGAATAACTATTAAATCAGTAATTTATTCATTAACATGAATCATCATCAGTATTATTTATTCACAAATCAAAGTCATTTTTTGTATCATTTGTTTATATATATGTATAGGAAGGAATGACTGTAAACTATTTTGTATTTATCAGTTGTGTATAGCAAGAGAGAGAGAGAGAGAGAGCGATAGAAAAGACATTTGACCGAAAATCTGACAGCGGTAACCTACATCTATTACTCTCTTATGCATGCATTGTTCAAAGGCTACTTCTATCAAAGCTACATGAAAACGGTTGAGGTGTGTGTGTGTGTGTACGTGGGTTAGACAAGTGACCGATCGACTGCTGATTGGTTATTGAGGGTCATATAGTAGACGCAGTGAACAATTTTCCTCCGGATTGTTCACTGCAGCAGAATTAATCATGAATAAAAAAAATTGTTTGTTGATTTTGTCCTTAAAGTGATCTATTAAACAGACATATGAACTAAAGGAAAACATCAGGGATAAAATTAGTAATCATAATAATAATAATAGTAATAATTAGTAATAATAGTTGCTATATATATATATATATATTTATATGTATGCATTATACACTAAACTTAATCGGGGTTTGTTATAATATATTATTTCATAATCAAAATGTCATTAATGCCATTAATTAATTTGTTTTAACTATATAATTAAAAATTAATTCATTACACAATTGATTTGAACAAAGAAAATCACATTAATTATTAATATTTATATTTATATTTATATTTATGTAAATAAACATATCAAATAGAGGGAAATAAAATATAGATACTCCTGATGAAATTTTTTTTCTCTGACAATCATAATGTGTAGAAAAAAAAATTAATTTTCAGAAAAAACTTGAAATAGTAAATTGTATTTATTGAGTTAGATTATTACTGTTTAAAAAAATGGAAGCATTGGGTAGGTGTTTCATGCTTGAAAGTGTGCACCCACGACCATGTATATGAGAATCGGTTTAGAGTGTGAACACTTAAGCTCTTGAGCACTGAATTGGTGTTGAATGGTGTTAGTGTGTGATCTAGCACAACCTTCATCTGGTGACTGTGACGGATAACTTTCTCACATCTAACGAGTATGCCTAGCTACTGACTGCCTCGTTGAGCTATGTGTTTTGAGATGTAGGAATAGGTTGGAAGAAAACTAGGGGCCGCCAAACCAAATCATGGCACAAATCTATGAAGTCATTGACAAGTGGAGTGAGTCATGATTGGTAGGTGTCGACTACCTGGTTAGGTCCGCAAGATGATAATAATCGATGGTTAGAGATCTTGAATGACATGACTCAAAACCGTTTGGCAATGGTGTAGGTGCATTTATTCTTTGTGTTCTGTGAAATTCTAACCTTCTGAATTAATCATCGCCTCTATCTTTCTCTTTCTAAATTTACCTCACTGAATTATACTTCTTGAATAATATCTTCGAACCCAAATCTCTCTGATTACTTCTAGTACTTTTACTACCTCTACTACCTACTGTTATGCTTGAAACTATTACGTGTTCACCGTAGTCGGTAAACGAGAGCGAAGACAAATGACCCAAGGCTCCAAAGCCTCACCAAGTAGAGGAAGAAGTCTTGATAAGGCGTAGAAAAGTGTATTCTACAAGCATCCAGAAAATATGAGGCTCACAAACACACAAATCGAGTTTATTCATACATGATAGAAGCATCCTTCGGAGAGCCACAAAAATAGCCTGCTAAAATAATACATCAACCAATGACAGTCAAGGATTTTCCGAGTCCGAAATGTAATCTCAAGGTCAACTGATCAGCCCATGCTCGAAAACACAAAATCCAAAATTAGGACTTTCATTAAGTGAGTTTCAGGGGATCTAACGTCCCTAAAACCTACCAATAGGATTGGACTATAGTTCTAAAATATCATCAATTAGTCAGCGCCAAAAGTATGAACCATTGAATACCTAATAAAGATCGAATACTAATCTTGAGAATCGAGAACATTATTGGGTTTAATTCGAAGAGGGATCATGAGTGCACACTACTTACAAACCTCATGATGTAATGAAACAAGTGTTCAGTGTTTTTCCAAGTTTGTCACTGATTGTCTAGATAATTATTAGTTGCTTTCTTTTGTAAGAAAATGATGAACTAATTTTCCCACAATTTATACTACTTATTTTTAATTTTTGCTTATTTTTTCTTTCTTTTCTTCTCTTTTAAATTTAGATCCATCAAGAAAATCAGGAGATTATGGAATATGCAGTGCAATTTTAATTACAATTTCATACTTGTTCATTATGATTACATTTCCTTTTTCATTATTTTTCTGTATTAAAGTAAGTTAATGATTATAGAGTTGTGAAGATGTTGTTAAGTTCCTTTTTAAATCATGAATTGATCAGTGTTAGAGTATCATTAGAAATCTGCAAGCACTGGACAGCCGTTTTGCTGTGGTATGGGACTTATTCGCGGTGTACATCCACGCCTCCTGCTATTCACATAGATCGAATCCAAGACCATCGGTCTTGCGCACAAACGATTAACCTTTGGATCACTTAGCCGGCACCCAATAGTGTGAATGCCGAACTTCGATGGGTTTGACTCGTGAGAGTAGCGGTAGTCGTGTGTCCGCACCACTGATGGGTCCCATAACAGGACGAAAAAGCTGTCCAATGCTTGCAGGTTTCTAATTGTGCTCCAACATTGACTGATTCATGGTTTCGAAATTACTATAAAGTCAGTTTATGAAGAAAACAATGTTACTAGGGATTTCGTGCTGGACTGTTTCTTTTTATAGATTATTTCACTTTAACTAACACTGAGTCGTGTATTGACTAAAATCAGAGATAGAAAGCTCTAAATCTTAATTAAATGATATTATTTCATGTTTGTTTCAAGTTTTCCAGTAATATCTCTTTGTCCAACACTATCGATTCAAAATATTGAAGAGTTCTAAACTGGGTTACAAAACAAGTGTCTAGTTTTAGTTTGTTGATGCTAACTAAAAGCAAAGAATACTGATCGTTTGAAATACTTGAATTAGAATCATGGGGCTTATTTTCGTTTAGTATAGAATTTGTCGATTGGATGTACCGGGATTCCTCTTGTAAAACACAGAAACCTCTTTCTGTTGTTGCCTCAAACACAAACTAATGAAATATCAAGAGTTGAATGAAATTTCCCACCGAATCTTTCGCTGCTACTCACAATTCAATTTTATTAAAACTTATTATGTAAGATAATACTGAAGAGGTCTGCTTCAGATGAGCATACAACTACAACGAAGACTAACGATAACAATGTCAATAAGTGTTGAATGATAAATTAACATACAGAAATGTAGTTTGTGAAAGAAAAAATTCGCGCAAATTAGTACATTATTGCGTATAGGTACGTTCGTGCTACGCTCAGAATAACTGTGTGAAAAAGTGAATATATATATATATATATAAGTGTTATGCTTGTCACTTGATATGCTTGAAACTATTACGTGTTCATCTTAGTCGATAAATGAGAACGAGACAATGAACCATTGACACGTTATGCTACTCTGATCCGTTGCATCAAAGGAACTAACGAAAAAGTTTTGATATAGCGTAGAAAGTGTATTTTACAAACACCCAGAAAATCGAGGTCTTCAAGCACGCAAATCGAGTTTATTTATACATCATAGAAACGTCCTTGGGAGAGTCACAAAAGTAGCACACTAAAATATGACAGTAACCAATCACAACCAAGGATTTTCCTGGTTGAAAATGCGATCTCAAGGTCAACTAATCAGCCTATGAATAAATTCCAAAATTAGGACATTAATCAAGCGAGTTCTAGTGATCTAACGTCTCCAACAATGCATAAACTACATTTGATTGAATTAAAACGTAGTTCTCTCTATACAACTTAACGTATATCATTAGTAACTTTTAACACATAGTGAAAATAAATAACAGCATTGATGAAATATACTTAATATTTACATAATAATATTAATAATGCTGTAATAAGTGACATTTCAAATGTAGTGATATATATATATATGTATATATACATATATATATGTATATATATATATATATATATATTAAGTATTTCCGCAGAAATCCGTATGTCATTTAAATGTGTCAAGATTTGACATGCGGTAAACTTTACGCGGGTTAAATTCAATAATGTTGAAGAAAACAAAAATAGGAAATATTTACTATTGAACAGTGAATTTTTTTATAAATTTCCCATTCAGTTTAAAAAAAAAGTTATCATTACGTTTTCTAAGTGATAATATTCATTAAAGGAATAGAATTCCTAATTTTTAACTGAGTGATTGAATGAAGTTTTCTTTGCAATAATAAATTCACTCTAATTTTCTGTCATTATGCCAACATGAACATGCGGAACATTGACAGCAAAATAGGATTATATTGGATTTGTATAGTGTACTGTTCTGTCAAGACTGTAAGTCTTGGTCCTGGCCCTAATGGAGCATAGGCCGCCAACCAGTGAATTGTTTTTCTGGTAATCATTTTTTCGACATTTCTGCATTTCTACAGGATAGGGTCGTTAATCGCATGTCCAATCCTCCTCCTTTCTTCCGGCTTTGGATTGGCAATAATCCTAGAAGATTTGTGGGTGGAGTTATTTTGGGCAAACCAGTTGATCTATTCTTCTCAAGCCACAATTCACACATGTTTTGACCTTGTTAATTATCCTCTTATAATCCGGGTTGTCTTTACTTCTGTGTGTGTGTTTGTGCACGCTTTGTTTTCTTTATCACATGTCTGACTTAGTTTCGTCTAACCGGACGGAGTTGTTTCACTCACTTTCTCCGCTTTACTTTGCTTTTAAGCACTTCTCATTCTTACTCCTGTCTGCATACCCAATTATATGACATAAAATGCGCACATATAAAACCGTGTCAGGCTTCCCTGTGCCCTATGTCGCACAAACGAGGTTCCCGACTAATTGGTAATGACAACCAAATAACTTTATTGATCATTAGAGTGAGCATAACATAGGGGATTGATTGGTTTTTTTTCCCAATCCGTCGTAATTTATCATTATCAACTGTAGAGTAATTGTATGAATTAGTTAACGAGTTTTATCTGTTGGTTGTACACACGTAATTGTATGATTATGTAATTAAGTGTTAACATAATAAGTGATTGATCAATCGATGTCAAACTCTATTAAGTTAAAATGATACAAATCTTATTGTAAATACGCCATATGAAAAAACGTAGTATATTCATATATCAGTTTGATTTATTTCTAAAGTGAAATAAATTCATATCATCAGTCCTAGGGTTGTTTACATGTTGCCTTGTTGGCTTAAGAGTTTTAGTACCAAGTATAAGTAAGTCAAGTGATTCTACAAACAACAGTGACGGGTTTAAATCTAAAAAAAATTATGAAAAATTTGTAATTTAGGGTGAAACGACTTTCATTGAGCTATGTTTTGCGGTGTAGGAGTAGGTTGGTAGAAAGCTAGGGGCGGCCAGACCAAAATATGGAAAAAATCCATTAAGTTACTGACAACTGTAATGAGTATGTGTTGGTAAACTTAGACTGCCCTGGTTGGGGTCCGCAATATGATAGTAATCGATGGTTAGAGATCTTGAATGATATGACTCAAAGCCGTTTTCCAGTTGCGTATTCATTCTTTGTGTTCTCTCAAATCCTATAACTTCTGAGTTCCTCAAGACGATTTCTCCTCTTTTTTAAATTGATTCCCCTGAGGTATACATCTCGAATGATATATTCGATCGTTAATCTTTTTGATTACTACTAATACTTCTACTACCTCTACCACTATGGGATTCGACAACTGCGTCCATGTGCTAGTGTGTGTGCTCTGGCAACTTGAGCTGATGTATGTACGTACGTTCGAAGTTCTACTTTGTAACTGACTGATGAAACGACGCCTTACTTTGTTTTACTAACATGTATAATTATCGCTAGTACTTAATTAAGTGTCATTTTAGGGTTCTGGCGATCTTTGTTGAGTTACATCATAAATCATGGATCAATAAATGTTAGGCATAAACATTGTTGGATACCGGCGAGTACGAAAGTCCCGGGTTCGATTCTCTCGTACAAGCATCAAGAATGATCACCATGGATGAGTGCCATACTAGTAGTACGAAACAGTCATTCAATTCTTTCAGCAGCTTTCTGATGTTGGTCTAATCATCATCAATTCAGGATTTTTATATAACCAAGTCTGGAACAAAAAGTAATGTTTTTTGATTTTTATGATAAAAAGGAAACATTTTTTAACTACAAATTACTACCGTCAAATCATTGTATGTGGTGTCTATTTTTTTTCTTCTAAATAATAATTTTCAAAACACGCAATAAACGATCAGGAGAGAAAAAAAAATATTTTTTTTTCACTAAAAATTCTCCCATTTTCCTTTTTTTCTTACAAAATTCATTTCAAAAATGTTAATGATTTTAATTTTGTTCAATGTTTTGAATTGCTTAATTCTTTTAAATATTATTCTATAATGAAAATAGGGAAAAAACTACCCGTTAATTCAGATCTCATATAGTTGGGAAAAATATTAAAAATTTCTCTGTCACAATAAAAATCTGTTCCGACATGGTTCAAAGGTTATTATAAGTATGTTTGAATTCGTCTGTGTCGACTGGGGCTACATCTCTTATTACCCTGTGTCATACGATGTATATACCATGAACTATATAGAGGTATTTAGAGCTGAAGATTTCCTACGAGATCAAAAGTTCATTATGAACATTGTGAATGATTTTGGCATTACTTTGGGCAAGTTTTACTAATTGTCCATAGACAAATTAAGTTTTCAGGATGACCGCTTACATTGATACTAGTGGGCGATTGTCATTGGGACGTTGCAATACATATCACTATAGCTAATAATAATGTTTTTTTTCGGGCAGACCTTTGGAGGTTTGTGTTTTTACACATTTGAAATCATCAATCAGTCATTGTTACTAGACCACCATTAGAAACCTGGAAGCACTGGACGGCCGTTTCGCACAATACCGAAAGTCCCGGGTTCGAATCCTGCGAGTTGCAGGAGTTGTGGATGCGCACTGCTGATGAGTCCCATACCAGGACAAAACGGCCGTGTTTCAGTGCTTCCAGGCTTCTAATGATGGTCTAGTAACAATGACTGACTGATGATTTCAAATGTGTGATAATAATGTGCTTGACAGTCATGTAAGCAGGATGGATTTAATCGGCTTTTTCATACTGTACATGGGAATTGATGGAATCTTGGATAGGAAATAATTACTATATTGTATTGGTGTATATAAATAGTGTGATTGGTCTACCAGGATGTCAGGCACCTGTGTGGTTACGCCACGGGTGTGACATGTACTATTCAGGTCATAGTGTTTTAATATTTGGACAGTATCCAATGTCAGACTACTCTTACCCAGTGAGAGTAAATTTATATAATTATGAATAAACTGGTTGATCTTGCCAGTATTCAAATGCTCGTTGCTTGCTATATGAAAATGCATGCAAAAATGAACAAGTATAAATTGTTGACTGATTGAATACTTTATTTTTTGAAAAATGTTACCTGAAATAATCTACATAGGACAAAATTCAATTTTTCTGACTTCACTCTTGATCAGTTCATTAAAACATTGAATCCAGTTAGTTTTGAGATCAAGTAATTCTCATTGATTGAATCAAGACAAGGCGAAACAAGCAAACAAACATGATTGATCGTTTTCTAGTTAACTGTAAGAACAACTTTACAGGATCATTATGCTGATCAAATGAAGTGATTGATTTTTAAAAAAAAAAATAGAAGTGTTATTTAGGGTCATCTAAACTAAACTAAACTGAATTATTTCACATTAAAGTTTATAATAGAATATTTTGAATTAAAGGTTATTTTATGTAGAAACAGGGAAAATAAGGACAACTCTGCTAAATTGATAACAATAAATATTTAAAACAGAAATAAACTTAATAATTATACCTGAAGCGATTCGCATAGACTGCAAATATGTCAATTAAAGTCTATATGTTTACAGAAATTTGTACACTTGTGAAAAAGTGAAAACAATGTTACAGATTCTGTGTGAATAAACTAGCTGCTTTTATGCATTTTACTGAAATCATGAATCAATCATAGTTAGAGCATTATTAGAAAGCTGGGAGCATTGAATGATAACCGTTTTGCCCTGGTATGAGACTCATCAGTAGAGTGCATCTAGGACTCTTGCTGCTTGCAGGAGTGGAACCGAAGATATTCAGTCTTGCGCACAAACGTCTAAACTCTGGACTACCGGATCTGCATCCAATGGTGTTAACGTCTAATCTGATCAGTTTAGAGATTTTGCGCAACCTCACCTATTTTTCTTTGAAAGTTACTGCCTACATCACACAGGGTTGAATTTCACTGATCACATCTTTTCACTAGAACTCCTAGAATTCCTACATGATGCTAGTCACTAGTGAGCACACTGAACAATTTTTCATTTAGAGTTATGGAGACTGTTGTGTATTACTGAGATCATGAATTATTTTTAGACCACCATTAAAAACCTAGAAGCACTGGATAACCGTTTCGTCCTGGTATGGGACTCATCAGATGTTAGACGTTTGCGGTCGAATCTTGCAAGTAGAAGAAGCTGTGGATGCACACCACTGGTGAGTCCCATACTGGGACGAAACGGCCATTCAATGCTTTCAGATTTCTAATGGTGATCTATTAATGATTCATTCATGATTTCAGACGTATTTAAATTCATATGGTTATTGGTTATCGATGAATTCAATTGTTAAGCAATATCAAGGTTTATTATCCACTTAAATAAATAACATTCACGAAATTTATATTCTTCACTATTGAATTTTTTCACACTTTTCTCATTGCGTAATTGTTTCAAATGTTCTGTGTTGATTATTTCAAGTCTGTTTATCCATGTTTAACTTGCTACTATTTCCAATGTTGAACTGTTGACGAAAAAAACTTTTGCATTACGGGGTTGTGAAGATTTTTTGAAACCATGAATTGATCAATGTTAGACCACCATTAGAAACCTGGAAGCACTGAAAGACGGCCGTTTCGTCCTGGTATGGGACTCATCAGTGGCAGTGCGCATCCACGACTCCTGCCCCTCGCGGGATTCGAACCCAGGACCTTGGGTATCGTGCGCGAACGCCTAACCATCGGACCACTGGGCCGGCATCTAACGGTGTGGATGCGCACTGCAACTGATGAGTCCCATACCAGGACGAAGCGGCCGTGTTTCAGTGCTTCCAGGTTTCTAATGGTGGTCTAACTGTGATCGATTCATGGTTTAAAAAAACTTTTGTCATCGTATTTTATTATTCTTACCACCAACAGTACACTTATCTTCCTATTATCAACTTGTACTTTTAACATTTAAGTGTAGTTACGCAACATCTATTACATTGTGACTATTGACTCATAACCAATATTCACAATGAGAATCTATAATATAAAATTCATCAATATGTATTTTGGTTAATTATATACAGTGTGATGTATGAGTATCGATTTTCTCAATTATTTTCACACGTTGAGATGGTGGAGAAGATTTGTAGCTCAGGTGGATGGATGATTGTGGTAGTGTTTCGTTCCCTGAGCTAGATGTTTTGGTTGTGGAGCTTTCATTGCTCTTCTACTGAATACAACATCATTAGCACAAACTTCTATTTTCATACTATCAAAGACTCTTCCTGATGTTTCTTTATCTTGTATATTTTGTATTTACATACAGGTTGTAGCGGAATATGAACGAGCAGTTATATTTCGATTAGGACGAATTCTACCGAAAGGTGCACGTGGACCTGGTCTCTTCTTTATTGCACCATGTATTGATTCAATTCGTAAAGTTGATTTACGAACAGTGACATTTGATGTTCCACCTCAAGAAGTAAGATTATTATTTGTATTGTGATTTGAACATACAATTATTGGTACGATGTATTACACAAACCAGTGAACTTTTATATGGGCTATAATACAGTTTGAGTAGCCTAACCAAAGGAGATGGTTTTGTTAGATGGCTACTCATCAAGCTTTTGACCCAAAATTCAAATCGAAAAAGCAGTAGAGCGACGTATGGAGATACAGTGACGAGCAATATAGGTCTACACAAAATGTGTTCTTTCAGGATCTTGGAGGCCAGATGACCCGTTGGCTTAGAATCAGGGTTTTTCAAATCCTTTAAGTAAACCGCCCATACCCATTAACCCAAACTAAGTGTCGGACACAACACCCCTGCTGTGAGAAGATAGTGAGTAGGACTTCCGTGACACTGACCTCATGAGAACGTCTGGGAAGAGAGAGTGCATAAAAATCTCTTATGTCAGATTGGAATAGAATTCATTTGTTTAAAATCATCTATAAACGATTTGTTCGGTATTTATATATACAAAAATGCTTAGGTTTTTACCCAACGTTTTCATCTTTAGTAATTCACAAACCATATAAGCTTTAAAGTAGGTTGCGCATTGAAATCATCAATCAACCATTCTTAGACCACCATTAGAAACCTGGAAGCACTGGACGGCCATGTTGTCCTGATATGGGACTCATCAGCAGTGTGCATCTACGACCCCTGCACCTCACAGGATTCGAACCCAGGACCCTCAGTTTTCCACGCGAACGCTTATCTTCTTGACTACTGGGCCGGCATTTAACGTTGTTATTATCTAACTCTGATCAATCTAGGGATTCTGCGCAACCTCACCCGTTTGTCAGAAGAATCACTGAGTTGATACTAAATAATTGAAATTTTCTACTTTAGTCATTTGTGATCGAGTTTAGTCATTCATTTAGAGTTACGGAGATTATTGTTTTTTTGCACATTGAAATCATCAATCAATCATTGTTAGACCACCATTAGAAACCTGGAAGCACTGGACGGCCATGTTCTCCTGATATGGGACTGATCAGTAGTGTGTATCCATGACTTCTGCACCCCGCAGGATTCGAACCCAGGACCTTCGGTCTTGAGCGCGTATTCCTAACCTCTAGTCATTCACCCTGATTACTTACTTATTTAAACCTGTCGCCCCTAATGGACTCTAGGTCGCCGACCAGCTTTCTCCAAGCTGACTCTGTCCTCGGCCTTTCCTTTAAAGACCTTTCAAATGCCAGGGCGGAGTTTAAATGGTTGGAATTATTTTTTTAATGGTTAGCGGTTTTTCTAGCGAGTTAATTATCTAAGGGACGAGGTTGCTAACCCCAGTGTTCAACTCTCCACCTTTATCTGGACTACATCATAAAGCTTACTTGGTACAACCTCATATATTATTCTTACTGAATTCTGTTTATCAGTATTTATTAAACTGATAGTAATAAATAAGAGTAAAAAAGGAAATGTCATATATTTATATCACATAATTATTAATAATAAATATGATTATCAAAATTTTCTTGTTTTTGTTATACTCATTGTATTTCATACTGTATGACATGACATAAATTCTTTGAAGAAAAATAATGAAGATTCGGTATGAAAAATATTCTCATTGAGAATGATTTAAAGATTAGTTGAACATTACTCATAAATTGTTGATAAACATATTTGAAGTTATCAAATTTATGAGCGAGGAAGCGAAAGCCGACAGTAAAATCTTATTCGCATTTGTCCTAATCATAAGGAATAAACAAGAATTTCGATAACATAAATATGAACGAAATCAAGTGATTTATACTCAATATCAAATTACATCAGTAACATCTGAACAGTAAATGAATGGAGTGGAGGGTCGGTTCAGCTTGATTTACGTTAACTCCAATTAGCAGTCAAACGCCAAGACAATTCTTCGCTTGCATCAATACATACGAACATGTATGTGCATACGTTCGATTGGAACAATGTGGAAATATTGGATAGGAGGAGCACAAAGTACACAAGAGAATTTTTAGAAGCTTGGCACTCAGGTCAATCAGCAATTAACAAACACATCGATATTGACTCAATTTATCAACCTATCAGAAAAATCATAGGCGACATAGGATCAAGAAACAGATCAGAAGGGGCATACAATCAAAACAATGGTGCAAACAACGACAGGTTTCAGGTCAACAGCAACCAATCAAGATCGAGGTTAACAGAACAAGCTACAGGTCAAACGTGGAGAAATTCGAATACTTCACTTCTGCTGTCTGAAGTTTGTGTTGATGATGTTGTTCAGCAGGAATGAGCAATGAAGGCTCCACAACCAAAACATCCAGCTGAGAGATCTAAACACCACTAAAGAAAAGGAGTTGTACTCAAACATCCTTCACATCGCTCATCAACCAACACAATCACTTGATTCTATTCAGAGCAAAAGACATAAAATTAAAGAAAAATGTAACGTGAATTTTAAAATAAACTATATCTTTTGATTGGAATATTACAACGAATAAAATGGGTGCCTCTAACACCTACGCACAAATGAACACAGATTAGCGGTCAGGCAATATGTCATATTATCGATGGTATTCATTCATGCAGATAATCATCGACATGAATCTGATCAATATAACGTCAAAGTATGGGATCCGAGCAACTCGTAGTATTCCAAAGAATTTCCAGAAGTACTATCTATATTCAGATCAGTTAACAGTCGAAATGTACATTGATATTATCCCAATCTATGAACTCATAAGGATAAGGTCAATCAACCACAAGATTACAGGTCAACATGAATCCAAAGTTGTTGAATCAAGGTGACAAAATCCAAGAAGAAAGTCAATAATCACAAACAAGTCAGTTAGCGTGAGCCGATATAATACTTGTCGAATAGTTAGAAAGCTTACTTTTACATAATGTAGGTACTGAAAACGTTGATCAGAACGAGAGCTCAAGCTCCGCAATAAAACCATGTAGCTCAGAGAACATAATGATCGTTATTTAACAAGCTTCATTTCAAATAAATTTCAATACTGTTTATCGCTTATTTTTTTCTCTTGTCTTCTCTATCTCTCTCTATCTCTTTATTTAGGTTCTTACAAAAGATTCAGTTACTGTCGCTGGGACTCCTCGGCAGTGCGCATCCACGACTCCTGCACCCCGCAGGATTCGAACCCAGGACCTTCGGTATGGTAGGCGAAGGCCTAACCATCGGACCACTGTGTCGGTATCTAACGGTGTTAATGTCTAACTTGATCGAATTCACGGAGTTGCGCAACCTCATATACAGTCTTCGATAGTTACTGTCTACACCCGAACACGTTGAACTTCACTGGTCACGTCTTCCCACTAGAATTATATGTTGCGTTTAGCTTCCAGTCTGAGTGCGCTTTAACTATTAGAGGAACGTACAGATTGACGGATGTAAAGAAAGCTGAAAACTAGAGGTATACAAGCAAAAGTTTGCCAGCCTTTTAGTAAACCCATCAAAATGTATATATTCTCAACAAGAAAGGCAATCAATAACAATTACACTTATACAATAATCAAAATACACACACAATCTCGTAGTCTAAACTAAAAAATGGATGAATTCCGCTTTTAAACTCATTCTACATAGAAGTGATGATGCATTTACTAGAAATAAATACCAAACAGAGTTAATTTAAATCATTCAAGACAGAAAAAAAATGACAAGTTCTGATTGACTGGTTAATCAACATAATAGTTGAGTCGAACGATTTTTCGTTCAATGTTCAATAATCAATTTCATCTCATTGTAATGACTTGTGAAAGGCTCGATTGGCTTTTTCCCAACCTGCGTCACCTATGGTGCAAGCGAGATATCCGTTTGCTAACCAAAGGACGAGTGTACTGTGCAGCGGTTCGCTCCGTCCTACTTTACAGATGAGAAACATGGCCGTTAAGAGTAGAGGACTTCCGTAGGTTATTAGTCTTCAATCATCGATGTCTCCGAAGCATTGCTCGTGTATCATGGGACAACCGTATAAGCAATGCTGTCGTTAGGAAACGAGTTCTAGTTAAGGATGGCAGATCAATAGATGAAGTAGTGAAACTTCATCAGTTGAGGTGGTTGGGACATGTGTTACGTATGGCTAACCACCGACTACCTCGACGAACTATGTTTTGTGATGTAAGAGTAGATTGGAAGAAAGCTAGGGACGGCCAAACCAAAACATGGCAGAAATGCATGAAGTCACTGACAAGTGGACTGAGTCATGTTTGCAGATGTAGACTACCTGGTTGGGGTCCGTGAGACGATAATCACCGATGGTTAGAGACCTTGAACGACTTGGCTCAAAATCGTTTGCAATGGTGCGGGTGCATCTACTCTTTGTGTTCTATGAAATTCTAAGCTTTTGCATTCCTCATAATCTCTATCTTTCTCCTTCTAAATTTTTCTTACTGAATTATACTTTTTGAATCATATCTTCGCTGCCTAATCTTCTCCGTTGCTGCTAATACTTCTACTATCACTATCACTGTTGGATTTGAACTGACAGTTGCGTCTCTGTGCTGATGGGGCATGGGAACCTGAACTGATGTACGTACGTACGTACGAAGTTCTGCGTTGTATCTCTCTGTCTGTCTGTCTGTAATGACTTATGAATACACTGTAAGAAAAAAAATTAGTTTTAATTTCGATTCATCTAGAATCGCTGTCCATCATTATTAATTTTTATGTATTACATTTTAAAGAAGTAAGATATTCACATTTTGTTTCAAAAATTATACTTGATATTATTTCAATGGTTTCATTGCGATAATAACCAGTTAATCGAGACATAGATAGTCTAAATATGTAAACTTCAAGATGTACATAGACAATCATTGAAACAATGAATAAAAAACATCATTTATTCGATCATAGAAAAGATATTTTCCTAGTTAATAGTGGCTAATTGATCTATTGAAAACTTGCGAGAACTAGACGGCGATTTTCGTCCTTATCGGGGAACTCCTCAACAATACGTATCTACTTAAGATGAATTCTTCATTGTAAATGAGAAATGAGAAAAAACATTCAATCTCCATAAATTCCCTTTACAAAAACTAAATATTTCACTTGTATTGTATTCAAGACAACATTCTGTCTACTTTGATTTATACTCTCTAACCAAAAAATATTGATTGAACACAATGATTGATCGAGTTGAATTTCAATTAATCAAATATTACAAATTAAATTTGACTGAAAAATTATCTAACTAATTTATGGGATTATTATTTTTTTTCAAATCTCATTTTCATATTTATATTAAACATAGTCATCCTCCTATAGATAGAAAAAAATAAGTAGTAATCTTATACAATTCAATCGTTATGACTTGATATTTACACACATATGAAATCATCAATCAATCATTGTTACTAGACAACCATTAGAAACCTGGAAGCACTGAAAAACGGCCGTTTCGTCCTTGTATGGGACTCATCAGTGGCAGTGCGCATCCGTTGGATGCCGGCCCAGTGGTACAATGGTTAGGCATTCGCGCACAATACCGAAGGTCCCGGGTTCGAATCCGGCAAGGAGTAGGAGTCGTGGATGCGCACTGCCACTGATGAATCCCATACCAGGACGAAACGGCCGTGTCTCAGTGCTTCCAGGTTTCTAATGGTGGTCTAACAACGATTGATTGATTGATGATTTTAAATGTGTAAAAAACACAAACCTCCAAAACTCTGCCCCAAAATATATATATATATGTATATATGACAGTTGAAATACTGAATTTGAATACTGTTCAACGTTGATAATCATCGGTATGAGATTAGTCAACATCCTATTCAGATTAAAATCTATATGAATCTGTTTCACAATCCTTTTTTTATTCAAGTATACTTTAGGACAGAGAAGTTTTTTCTCATTTTATTGATTATCATAGTTTTTTTGTCAAACTAGGTCATCTTCAATGTTCAAAGATCATTTTGTCATTTGAATTTATGTCGCATTAATATTGTTTAACAATAATTGTAATGAAAAAGCTGCTTCTACATAACGCGAAACCTTACTGATTATAAAGTAGATTTTACTTTACTTTATTTACTTATGCCTTGTTGGGGACATTAGATGCCCAGAACTCGCTTCACTTTGGATTTTATTCATGAGCTGATCAGGTGACCCTGAGATCACATTTTCCATCAGGAGAATCTTTAGCTATGATTGGTTACTGTGTTATTTTAGTATGCTATTTTTGTGACTCTCCCAAGGACGTTTTTAAGATGTATAAATAAACGAGATTTTTGTGCTTGAGATCATTGTGTTTGCTGGCTGGGTGTTTGTAGAATACACTTTCTACACTATATCAAAACGTTTTCTTCAGTTAGTAGGGGCAACCGATCAGAGTAGCCAACCGTGTCACTGGTTCATTGTCTCGTTCTCATTTATCGACTAAGGTGAACACATAATATTTTCAAGCATATCAGGTGACTAACATAACATGACTGTAAACTCTGGTGGGACAAAGACCGCCAACTATCATTCTCCAACCTATTGCGTCCCTGCTTGACAGTTCTATCCAATTATTGTTCATTCTCTTTGTGTCTGTCTCTAATTCTTGGCATAATGTGTTCTTTGGTCTCCCTCTTCACTTTTGGCCTTGAGAATTCACAGTTAAGGCTTGTCATGTGAAGCAGTTAGATGCTTTCTTCAATGTGTGTCCTATCCAACTCCAACGCTTCTTCCTTATTTTTTTTTCTGCTGGAATCCGGTTTGTTTTCGCGCACAGTAGGTTGTTACTGTGGATGGTGTGTGGCCAACGGATCCGAAGTATCTATTTATAAATAATTGCATCTTTTGAATGATGGCTTTTGTAGTTCTCCCCAACTCCACTCCATAAAGTAGAACTGTCTTGACATTTTTATTGAGAATTCTGACCTTGGTTTTCTGTTGATAACGGCTCATGACTGAACTCCAGTGTGGACGAATGATCGAGTGTGCAATAAAAAATAAATTTTCCTGTCCATCTCCGTATATCATACTTAAGCAACCTCTTTCGTGAGACAGCGGTAGTAAGAATCTAAATACGGTAACGCGGATTAATTTATTTTTTGCATTCATTTATGCAGACAGACATGAGAATGGGAAACATACCAGCAAAGCAAAGCGATCTGGGGAAGCCGAAGGAGCCAGCTCTCCATGAGCTGAAGAATAACTAGGTATTTATAGTCAAACAATATTAGGCTAGACATGTGATAAGCGAGTAAGCATGCACACACACAATCACATGTACAATAATCGATACTGTAATCGAATTATTACAAATATAAAAAAAAAATCCATAACATTCATCAAACAATTTAAACCGCAAATCATTGAAGTACAATGAATGAATGGTGAGATGAGATGCTACAGTTTTGATTTCCAGACGTTCTTCATTTGGTAAAAATGCTACCCCGTTGTAGGGTAGATAATTTTGTCGAGTTAAAAGTGTACATCAACATACTTTTATAAAAAAACTATCAAAAAACGAATACTGTAATGTAAAAAAAAAAAACAATTCACCATTTGAAATTCACCATTCAATGATTAGTTTGTATGTGTTAATTTTTACCAAGATTAAAACAAATTGTCATTTTTACGCTACATTCAATGGGTTCAATTGTTTAGGCTATTTTTCAGTCTAATCGACAATCGTATATTCTTTCTAGTTATTATTATTATGATTTAAAATAACATTTTTAACTTTTTGAAGTGATTGTACAAAACAGAGTCGACTAGAAAATTCCAGAAACTCTTTGAATACAAATCATGATAGGTTGATGTCGAAACTGGTTGAAACGCTAATAGAAAAGACTTTTAAAGTCATTGAACATAAAGTTTATACAGACGGCTGAATCGAAAATGAATAAATCAAATGTTGAGAATGTGATGCTTCCATAAATTTTATTGAAACATTGATCAGAAATTGATACATTCTATGCAGATATATATATATATATATATAAGTAGCTATCAGCAAAGTTTATCATGACACATAATAAGAGATAAATTCATCATATTTCATAAGTTTTATTGATAAGATTATTTGATAAAACCGTCAATATATGTATATATATATATATATATATATATATATATATATATACAGTACAGTAGAGAAAAAGTAAGCTCTTCTGTTGACCTTGAGTTCCTACTGAACTAGAAGACAAGATGTTTTTTTTAAAAAAAAAATAGATTTCGATCAGTTTTATTCATCAATGTAGAAAGGTTAGTTTATTTTCTGGTGTATTTTATTTAGTGGTAAAAACAAGGCTAGGAATTTTAGATGATTGACCTTTCGTGTACATTATGTATGAGCAACCTATTGAAAAGGTTAATATGACTTTAGTCGACCATTTTATTGATAAATAGAAATTGTGATGAATGAATTTATTTGAGAATTTCATTTTAAAACCAAAAACAAAGTAATGAATAGAAATTCCAGGAGATTTGGATAAAATTTGAATTCGGCGGGATTAGAGTTTGATAACATCTTTTTCTCCTAGTGTTTTTTCTACTTGTTCTATCTTTCCTCAAATAAAATGATATCCGAAAAAAATGAACTACATTTCGTCAATTACAAGTGTTTGTTTTTCAGGCATGAAATAAAAGTTTTTTCTAGATAATTTGCATTTTGAAAATTAACAATGAAAATTTTCCATATTTCTGTTTCGATCATAACTATCTCAACAGTATAATATGTATATTGCCTTAATGAAAAATGAACCAATCAGGATTGAGGGAAATAACTCCATATTGTTGCGTGAAATTCAAAAAATCGTTGGCTTTTTCTTTCCTCATATTATGTTACTTAACTGAGTATAAGTTCAGAATGATAATCTGTATCATAATGGGAAAATGATTGAGTCAAATGTAAATTGTAACAACATGCAAAACAAACCCCTAACTAGGACATATTGTAGAGACTCATGTTCAACCATTATTGTATTCCTAGAAGAATTCAAATAGCGAACCGGTGTTTCAAGGTCAAATGGATCAAAGAACATATCTTTGTTTTTTTTAAATCTGCAGATAGAAAACCTAATGAATGACCTCAGTAGATTGATAAATAATGTTAAATTTTATGTGCTTACTGGTGACTAGCTTCTTGAGGAAATTCTTGGAGTTCTAGTGAGAAGACCTGACCAGTGGAGTTCAACCCTGTCGGGTGTAGGGGGTAACTACCGAAGACAGATGGGTGAGGTCACGCAAAATCGCTAATTTGATGAGAGTTAGACGTTAGCACTGTTGAGTGCTGGCCTAGTGACCCGGAGATTAGGTGTTCGTGCCCTAGACCGAAGGTCCTGAGTTCCAATCCTGCGACGTGCAGGAGTCGCGGATACGCACTGCTGATGAGTCTCATTACCAGGACGAAATGGCCGTCCAGTGCTTCCAGGTTTCTAATGGTAGTCTAACAATGATTGATTTATCATTTCAAATGCATAAATTAGTTGTTATTCCTAACTGTTTCTAAACTGACTGATAGTAATTTGACATTTCCAAAACACTAATCACTCAGTCTCATCTCTATACATCATACTGCACCTTCACACGACTAAATCAATAAACATTTAAAACTGATCGCTTCTTTTTACAATAAAAATAATAAAGTCAACTATTATCAAATCTTATTTCAATTTGCAGACCAAAGCTAATCTAACATCCATTTCAGGCTCCTCAAGAAACACCATTCCACGGTGTGGACAACCGGGAAGTGACATCCAACCTCATACCCATAACAGCATACAAAACCAAATTGGTCAAAATCATGCTCATAACCCGTAATTCGTTTAGACTTGTTATTTCTTACAATTTTCCTTTTTCGATTCGTTGTAAAATAAAATTTATCATATTTCCTATTTTGATTTTTTCTTCATTTCCTTTCCTACAGGTGATTGCTGCTGAAGGTGAAGAAAAATCATCGGTTGCTTTGAAACAAGCTGCCGACGTTATAAAAACATCACCATTCGCCCTGCAATTACGTTATTTACAAACATTAAGTGCCATTTCAGCGGAGAAAAATTCCACCATAATATTTCCTCTACCAATTGATATGTTAGTGAATTTATTTCATCGATGAAAGAAAGAAACAGGGAAATTTAAAAATTTTTTTACAAAATGACAAACAAACCATTGAAATGTAACAATCATTCTTTATATACTACTCAACATAGACGACATATTCTATGTCTATTCTGTCTATCTAATTACAACTATATATATATGTTATACATATGATAATATGAACGATTCTAATGTGTGAACCATAATTTTTGTTGTCTGTCATTATTGATTGTTCAGACAAGTTAATCCTATTTAATGTATTTAGTTGAGATAGAAAATGGTGCGTAATACTCTCTTGTGTGTGTCTGTGTGTATAAAATACGGAGAATACGGAAAAAAAAACCACACTGTGTATCTAGTCTTGCCTAGCCGTAGTTGAGTGAAAACTGTCTGATATAAATACCATTTATAATGTAATGGCATAGTTTACACTACTCAACTCTCAAATGTCGATCGATCGATAAATCTCTGGTTATTTATTCACTAATGACGACAAACTTTCAAGACATCGTAATAAACCATTGTATTGTTTGTTCTTAATGACTTTAATTCAATTTTTCATTTATTGTACTTTAAACAGACATTAAATGATTGTAATGTATTGAGGGGAGAACAAAAAAACCGCGCTGAAAATGATCAACATTTCATTATGAATAAATTTTGATTAGGGGTTAGGTGAAAAATTCGAAATATGTCAAAATTATTCATGTTCTGTAATTCTTACATGAACAACTTACGCTCACTCACCTTACCATCATTATTCAACCTTTCTTTTGAATAAAAAAACATTCTTAATAATTTCATCCGTTTTGTTTTAATGCAGTGGGTTGATCAATTTTCAATATATATATATATATATATATATATATATATATATATATATATTTATATGTACTCACTGGTTCAATCGTTCGATGAGGATACAATTATTGATATTCTTACTATCTATCAACTGGAAGAATGAATACCCACTAGTTTATACTTCTTTCAAAATATTACCATTTAGTAACAAAAAATGGTTAGTAGACATCTAACTGTAATCACGTTTGTCAGCATTATGATGTATTCATTCATTTTTAATTGGAAATCTTGACTTGAATACTTTTAAACCTTTCATTTTGAATTGATTTCCATTTTCATGTTTGTTTTTATTTCAAGTGTTTAATCAATGATATTTATATATACATATTCATAATGCTGAGTGAGTTACATTAAGAAATCAACCGGAATATCGATTTGAAATACTTTGGAAATATTGAATCTTGAATTATTCCTATATTTGTAAGCTATTCAACTGGACGTTTATCTTCTAGTGCATGTGTACAACTACGTTTCAATCCGTCTCTCCCTCTCTCCCTCTCTTGCTCTCTCTATCCTCCTCTCTCTTTCTCTTATTCTGACTTGATGTATTTGCATGTACTTATTCAATATGTTAAATTATGCATGTTATCATGATGTTTTTTTCTGTTTGTCTTTTTATTCCGAGTTATAAATAAGAAAAATAAAAGAAATTAAAAAAATATCAAGAGTTTCATTGATTATTATTGTTATAATTGTGATTGGTCTTTTGATATACCATAAACTGATACAGTTCGTTGAAATTATCAAGGAATCATTGCTTGAGCACGATTAGAAACGTAGCAGCACTGAACGACAGCTGTTTCGTCCTGCTATAGTACTAATCAGCAGTACGTACCTTAAACTCCCGCTACTCTAAGGATTTGAATGTACGACATTCGATCTTGCGTGCTAACGCTTAATCTTTGAACCTTCCAGCGGTATTGTCTAACTCTTATCAATCTATGGATTTTGCGAAGCGTCGCCCATTGTATTCGGTAGTTACTGGCTATACCCAGAAGGGTTAAACTCCACTGTTCACGGCTTCTCACTTGAACTCCAAGAATTTCCCCAGGAAGCTAGTAACTAATCATCACATTTTTGATTTTTCTATTATACTACTATTAAGTTTGTTGTTTCGACACTGAAATCATGAACGAATCATTGTTTGATCACCATTAGAAACGTATAAGTACTGGACGGTCGTTTCATCCTAGTGTGGGACTCATTAGTTGTGCGCTTCCACGACTCTTGCTATTCGCTAGCTGATATCAACATAGTCTGAGAGGAAAGATGGAACAAACGGATAGAAAATAACAACTATATTATCTGTGAGACTATTATCTACTAGTGTTATTTAAAGAAAGTTGGATGACATCATAATGAACTGATTAAAGTAGGAAATCTAAACCATTTGACTCAGTGGTCTGAAGGATAAGCATTCATTGAGACAATTAATAATGCTCAGTTATTCCTAGTGTAATATTCTTAGTCGAAGTAATTGTTCAATGCTTCCTAGTTTTCATTGATCGCCGATGTAAAATCAGTCCTTGATGTGAACTCCGCTGATTCAATAAAATTAAATCTACCTGACTTTCAAACAGTATCAAGCTACACGGACACAAAGCAGAAAACGAAAGTACACTATGAAACAGATTGAAGGTTCCATGTTACCCCCATCAAGAGTAGACTAATGATTATTAAATTAAATATCCGAAGAATAATTTTTGATAATGTTGAGTTTAACTATGTACTGGGTTTTTTTTCCATCTACTTCACAATAGATGAAAGTAACTGAAATAGGTGACGAAATCTCAGATAAGAAATGTCTTCTATAAACTTCGATTTCTGCATTCGATTAATGAGATAAATACAATTCTTAAAGATTGTTCTTAAGTAAGGACGTTTATCAATCAATATTTAGTAAATACACTGGGTAATTATCATTAAGCTGAGTGAAACTTATGTTAGTACCGTTTCCATAGCTCTATTCACAGCTAGCAACAGGTTCCAAGAAGTTTACTTACTTACAATGGAGCATAGACTGCCAACCATTATTCTCCAACGTTGACTGTACTGAGCATCTCTTTCCACTTCTGTCCAATGTTTATTCATTCTAGCCATTTCTGTTTCCGTTTCTTGGCCTTTCTCATTTCCTTTGACCTTGAAGGTTCTAAGTCAGGGCTTGCCTCATGACGACGCAGTAAGGTGCTTCCTCATATATGTGCCTCATCTACTTCCACCGCTTCTTCCTGATTTCCTCCTTCACTGGAATCTGGTTTGTTCTCTTCCACAGTAAGTTGTTGCTGATGGTGTCTGGCCGATGGATCTGAAGTATTTTGCGTAGACAACTGTTAATAAATACTTGTATCTTCTGGATGACGGCTTTGGTAGTTCTCCAAGTTTCCTCCCCATGCAGTAGAATCATATCGACATTTATATTGAAAATTCTGATTTTGGTGTTGGTTGATAGTTGTTTTGAATTCCATATGATGTTCAATTTTAGAAATGTAACCAATGCTTTGTCGATCAGTGCGTTCACATCTGGATCGGATACACCTTGCTCATCAATGATGTTGATCAAATATGCGAAGGTCTCCGAAATTTGTAGAGCTTGTCAGTCGAGTGTGATATTGTTGGCGCATGTTGTGTTGCATGAGAGAATATTGCTTTTTTCCATTGTGTAAGTTGAGACCTACTGCTGCAGAGACAGCTGCTACACTGGTCATCTTCTTTTACATTTGTTGTTGCATGTGCGATAAAAGAGCCAGATCATCTGCGAAGTCCAAATCGTGCAGCTCCAGCCTGACTGTCCAATGCATACCGTGCTTCCTTCCAGATGTCGACGTCTTTATAATCCAGTTGATCATCAGGAGAAAGAGAAAGGATGAGAGTAAATTCCAAGAAGCTTGTTTAGTGCAGTTTAAGACTTATCAACTGCATATTACTACATCCTAGTTGGACCAGAACGTAATAATTTTCACTTTAAACCTACAAACGTATTATCCTTCTATCTTCTGATCGCAGGAATTCCATAACTGTCTGTTCTATTCTCTTTACGACATGATAAAACTGTCTGTATTAACACAGTCCACACAAGATCTACATAGGTTAACAATGACTGACTATGAAATACTTAAAATAGTCTAAATCAACAATGTCCATATGTGTACAACAACCATTTAGTTCTCTGTATAAATAATATTATCGTCAATATTTAGAATTTTCAAAATGCTACAATTCTATTACCATAGAGAAAAAAACAATATATCTATATAAATATTTGAACATTGAAAGCAGCTGTGTTTATATTTATAAATAGATTATTTTATATATTTACATTATATTTAAGTAGAAAATAACAAGTTATTTACTTATTTATTTGTTCATACAAATGGTCATTCTAAAGCAATTTTTAAGTAACATAAGTGATTATATCATTCGTTAGTTTATGCTTAAAATAAAACTTTCTTATGTAAATAAACACAATATCAATGTTCAATATCTAACATAAACATTTTGACCAACTGTTGCAATTTGTAATATATATATGTATATATATTACATGAACTAATGTATTTAAAATAGTTCTTATGATGTGTGTGTATTTGTGTACGAATGAATATTGAATATTGAAAATTGAAAATTGAACACTAGTCACCTATAATAATAATTATTATCATGAGTTAATAAGTAAATAAATAGGTTTGGCAAGTAATTTAATAATAAGAAATTATTTTAATTCTAGGGTTGTACAAAGCGGATTGTGCGAAGATCACAACTGCGTAATTTCTGCCTGCTGATTACAACGTTTCATTCTGATCCCTCTACAGTTTATAAGCCCCAGCAAATTATCAGTCTAACAACCTTTGCCAAAAAAAATTCACATAAGGCACCTCAGAATTCTTTTTTTTCAGGATGACAGTTAGTTTCCAAACACAAAGCTTTTTAGACTTTTGTAGTCAGTTTATTGTAGAATGCCTCATTTATTTTCTGTGAAATACTGGGATGGTGGTTGGCAAGTTGTTGGTCACATCTACTGGAACTTTGACTGCCGGTTAGTATTATTATTGCTTGTCTCCTTCGTGGATACCCTACGTATAGTTAGCAGACCTACAGCCAATTATTTTTTATCATTTCTTACATCTGAAAAAAGAAATCACCAGAACAAAACGGCTACAGGGACTTGTCTCTTAACTACGATTCCCAGTTATACTGAAATACATAGAAACGTTTTATTGGTAATAGAC